GGGGGGGGGGGTGTTGGTTGTTTCATTTTTTTAGAATACCCGGGCTGAGGAATGAGTAGCTTATCATGATCTCCGATGTCTGTTTCACTCAGATTTAGTACGTTATGATATTCTGCTATGGTAAACTGATTTATCTGCCCCTGGTGTGATGTAAAAGGTTGTGGGCTGCTCTCCAAACTTCGTGTCGGCGTTATTTTTTACCTGGCGCGTCGATCTTTGCGAAATGTGAGTAAACAGTGACACCTCGCTGACAACAATTACATGTAATTCAGCAACTCTTTTAAAAGTCCACCCCCCCCCCCCTATTTTTTTCTTGTTGCTTGCAGTGTCTCAGAATACATAGTTTAGTTGAGTTCTCTGTTTGAAGCCTGCAGCACAATGTTGGTCATATTATACAGGCAAATAATCTGTAAATAATATTTTATATTAGTTGAGATTGGGATCGTTTTCTTTTTTTAGTTTATTCCATCGGCAGTATTAGTCCCACTGTTAAAGAGCTCGCTGCTAACTTAGTTTGTATCAATCTGAAGGTGAAGGTGTTGGCCTCTCATTCAAAAGTCCCGGTTTCGAATCCGGGTGGCGACCGAAAAATTTTCTTATCTAAAATCATCTCCTTTCACATCCTTTCCTGCTCTCTAGCAATGTTCTGTCGCCTGTTTTCGTCTCCTCTTTCTGCCCCCACCTCCTTTGCCCCTCCTCTGGGCTTCTGACTTGTTCTGCTGCCTTTCTATTGCCATTCCTTGTCTCCTTCTTACTGTTGACTTTTGGTCACACCCTTGATCCCCTGGTAGGAAAGATCTACACCTAGCCTTCTCGGACAAGGGCGAAAAATCTCAGAGGGCCCGTGTGCAAGTTGCGCACGTTTAAGATCCCTTGGTGGTCTAAAATCGATAAGAGTAGGCTTCGGCCGCCACCCGTGCAAAATTAAAAATGTTCTACCAACTGAAAAACTTTAGTGTGTCCCGCGCGCTCCTATGACCTTATGCACTTGCGAGCGCCGTAAAACACGTAACAAAGAAAAGGCATTTAAAAAACCCAGAGCAAATGGCCCAGGTTGGAATCCTCGACGGGACGTTCTGACTTTGAGTTGTTTGGGGAAGTTTTTAAGGCTCTCCGTCCAATTGGCTCAGTGTTATCGCAGATAGGCGTTGTATTTGGAGGTCCAACTTTTTTATCTTACTCAATCTTGCTGTATTGACACGAACGTAAAATGTCTTAAACAATCTGGAGACCTTTTATGCAAAAGTTCTCCAATAATCTAGGAACGTAAAGGGTCTTTAATAATCTTGCAGCGTTGAAAGAGGGGTAGAAAGGTGTTACTTAATCTTGCACTGTTGAAAGGGTGTTAAATCTATACAAGTTCACAATTTTTCACTGTCTCCCCCCCCCCCACTCTACAACCTCCCAACCAGGGTCACTATGACGAGACGTTCACGTGCGTGAGTAACCACGGAGAGATGAGCGTGCAGCAGGGCTACAACCCTGAGTACCACAACGGGCGGATGTTTACGGTGAGTGGGGGGATACCCTCATCAATCCTTTGTTCACACGCACACAGACGCACTCGCATGCACTCACGTGCGCGTGCGCACGACACACACACACACACACACACACACACGCGCGCGCGCGCGCGCACACACGCACACTCCCTCCCCCTCCCCTCCCCTCTTTCTCTTCCTCTCTCTGCATGTGTGTATGTGAACTGACAGGGATGGGGACAGAGAGAGAGAGAGAGA